GTAATTAGCCCCACTCAAACTACATAGACTGAGAATAGAGAAGGGATATTTCCCAAAGGAACACCAGGTGATGTTACCAGAAGAGAGAGTAGATTGTGTGTGCACCCAGAATGTCTGTGTACTACAGAGAGGAAATCAAGAGCTCATTTGGTTTTGAAGTACAAAGCAGGATATTTTGATAGAAGTAAGCTGATAGAACTATTCTCTGCTAAAGATCAATGAGAGAAAATAGGCTTAAATGACAGTAAGAAGAACTTTAGTAATAGGTATTTTTCAGAAAAGCTAGATACAGATCAAAGTTTTGTAAAGCAAATCCTATTTTCCTACTGATTTCCATTATAAAGTCATAACTATATTCCTAAAAGGAAACAAATCCTCCAGATTTCTGAGTTGGGAACTTCTGATGAAAAAGTAGTTATGATTACTACAGATCTATAATATATTGTATACAGATATACAATGTATAATATATTGTAATATATCAGTGATACAACATCTGCCAGAATTGCAGTTGCCAACTATCTTTTTAGGTTTTTTTATTTTGAGGAAGATTAGGTCTGAGCTAACATCTGCCGCCAGTCTTCCTCTTTTTTGCAGAGGAAGATTGGCCCTGAGCTTAACACTCATGCCCATCTTCCTCTACTTTTTATATATGGGATGCCTCCCACAACATGGCTTGATAAGTGGTGCATAGGTCCACGCCCGGGATCCAAACCAGCGAACCCCGGGCCGCCAAAGTGGAGTGTACGAACTTAACCACTATGTCAGCAGGCCGGTCCCTGCAGTTACCACTATCCATTCGCTTTTCCTTAGGGCTCTTTCAGAATTTAGAAGCTGTTTTCTTTCTCTCTCTTGGTAAACAATTCGTTTATCCTTTCTTAGCCACAGACACTTTTCCTATGCTAGGATGTCTCTAATTCCACCATGGACCTCCAAGAACTTCCCCATCATTTTGCATATTAGAGCTAACTACAAATGCAGTGTCACATTTTGCCAACAGGGAAGCTGCCTAATTCATGTTCTGCCACAGCCTGAAACTCCCATAAGAGCAGAGCTTCTGCTTGTATAAAATTGGAGGCCACATAAAGGAAGATGTGGTTTAGGACCACATGCAGAGACTTCCCAGGCTTTTTGGAAGCAGTGAAAAGGTAGGGGTGGAGAGGGCAGAAAGAGGATGGGCAGACAGGTGCAGCCCACAGCAGGTGTACCGCCTTTGTGTCTGTCTGATTTATAAGAGAATGGAATCACAACCTGTAACACAGAAAGTGGTATGTAGACTTTGCCTGCACGATTGTCAAGTTTAAACGGGAGAATGGTAAACTCAGATGAAAAATAATTATAGATTTCTCAAGCATTTATATTACTCCTTCCCATCTTCTTTCTTAATTCCTGAAATTTATATCAAGACTGTATCTTTGAATTATTTTATTCATTCATTCATTCAACCAGTAGCTATTGAGGACCTGCTATGTGCTGGCACTCTTCTAGGCATTGAGGCTACAGCAGGGGACAAAACAAAGTCCTTAACTTCATAAAGTTCACATTCTAAGGAGTAGAGCAAACAATAAATAAGTAAATATATAACATAGATAATATTAAGTGCTAAGAAGAAAAATGAAGCAGGGTGAGAGGGATAAAGAGTGGTAGGGGAAGGAGGCTGCCATTTCATATATGATACGTGTGATATCTGAACACAGACATGATGGGGTTTTGGGAACAAGCAAGAGGCTGCCTGGAGGAGGAGCAGCCTATGCAGAGGGGGAACTAAGGTGAAGACCCTGGGCCCGAAGCAGCTTGGTCTACTCTAAGAACAAGGTGACCAGAGTTGCTGGAGGAGAGTAAGCAAGGGAGAGTGTGGTAAATGATGAGGTCAGAGAGAGAGCAAAGGCAGGTGGGGGTGTGGGGGCTGCTCATATTCAGGGGAGAAGGGAAATGATTGAGGGGTTTGGGCAGCAGAATGGTGGGGCCTGACGTGTTTTAACCAGATAATTCCAGCTGCAATGAGAGAATAGAGTAGAAACAGGGAGACCAATTAGGAGATTATTGAAAAAAATCAGGCCAGAAATGATGGACCAGAGTGGTTGAGGTAGAGGTGCTGAGAAGCATTCTCATCCCAGATGTATTCTGAAATCTGCATTTCCTTCCTTCGTTTGTCTTTTTGTTTCTTTTTCCTCGCTATTCTTTAGAAATATGTAACCTTTCTCCTCCCAAATAATGGAATTTGTATTTATATAGTTTTTAGACCAGGGGCTTTATTTCTGGTCCTGTTTTAGGTCATATCTGCCTCCTCTCTCCACCCCTGTAGAGTTTGCTCCATATGCGGCTGAGTTCAGATGATGGTAACACTGTTGCAGATTATACATCTAGGAGGTACTCAGCCTAAGCATAGGTCTACTGCTGATCATGCCCAGAATGCTCTGAAGATGTTTCCTTGTGAAAGTGGCTCTCATCAGTGGCAGTTGTACAGAGAGAACTCATACCAGAATGGAGAACTGCAGCAAAGACGGGAAGCTCTGCTATGCTTCAGGCTGATGTTGGAGGGACAAATACTAGTCCTAGAGCCTTAGAGTCTCAGAGTTGGCAGGCTCCCTGGAGGACAGTTAATCCAGTCTTCTGCTGCTGCTGTGTGAATCCCTGCCATGATATTTAGTCATCTAGCCTCTGCTTCAAGAGTCTAGAGTCCATAGATCATAGACTGTCAGTGCTGGAAGTGATCTTAAAGATCCTACAGGGCTGAGACTAGAAGCATCCAGGGGTCTGAACTTCCAGACCCATGTTCTTTCCACTCACTGTGTTGTCATTCCAAATAAAGGACAGCCTTTGCTGGTGGAATTACAGAGGTGGCTTTAAATGTCTCTGTGTTCGACCCCTCACAGGCTGTCTGGATTTGTTTGCCTTTCGACTGAAAAAACAGTAATGAATCTTTTCTTTTTGTTTTCAACCCCAGGGGTTGCCCTGCTTTCGGATGCATACCCTGAGAAAATCTTGCTTGGCCTGTTGACTCAGTATGACAGTGGTAAAGACAAGCACACGCCGGAGACCAGAATGAAAGTCGGGGAAGTCCTGATGCGAATTGTCAGAGCATTAGGTGAGTTTTCTTGTTCCGTCGTCTGGAACAGGGTTGGGGAGCAGTATGGCTTTGGACCCAAAGTCTGTGTGCCTGGAGGTTCGTTATGCTGGCGAGGTGGGGACGGTTTCAGGGCTGAGATGAACTACTTCCTGTTCAAGAATTTAGCAAATATCCGGATGCCCACTAAGAGGTAGGCAGCAATAGTGCCCATTTTCCCACAACTGCTTAGTCTTCTCCTCTGAGCCATGTTGGGGCCCTGATTTTCATTGGAGTTGGAATGAGAAGTTTCACACTTGCTGAGCAGCGGCAAGCATAAAAAGAAGAGGAATGTCAGACAAGGAAGGGAGGGCACTAACTCTTGTTGAATGGCTACTGTGAGCCAGTATATAATCTCATCTAATTTCCCCAACAAATCCTGGAAAGAGGCTGGTGTTAGACCCATTTTATAGATGGAAGCTGTGGTGCAGAGATCTTCAGCAATTTATCCAAGATTCATTCAGCTGATAAATAGAAGTGCTAAGAATCACACCCACCAACTCGAAGGAAGTTGCCCAAAACTACACAAGCTGAGAGTAGTATGGCCTCTGGAGTCACACTGCTTGGGTTCAAATCTCAAACTTCTGCTTACTGATTATGTGATCATGAGAGTGTTTCTTAACCTCTTGGTGCCTCAGTGTCCTCATATACAAAACGAGGATATTAATAGCACTTACCTCATAGAGCTGTTGTAAGGATTAAGTAAGGTAATACTTAGAATAGTATTTGCACAGAGTATGGGCTCAACAAATTTTTATTTTTGCTAAATAAAGAAGAAAGATTGCTTTTTTTTTCTTTTTCTCCCCAAAACCCCCTAGTACATAGTTGTATATTCTAGTTATGAGTGCCTCTGGTTGTGCTATGTGGAACGCCGCCTCAACATGGCCTGATGTGTGGTGCTATGTCCACGCCCAGCATCAAAACCAGTGAAACCCTGGACCACCGAAGTGGAGTGCATGAACTTAACCATTCGGCCACAGGGCCGGCCCCAAAAGATTGCTTTTTTAAAGGAAAGAAATGCTTTATTATTTACTATTTACTGAGTGCCCATATGGGGCTAGAAGGTGGAACACTGGGGAGCAAGGACAAAGAAAACAGTTATTCACTCTAAAAACAGGAGTTAAATTAAGATGAACTAATGAATTTCTCTGTAAGTCAGTAAGCACACTTTTGATATTTTTATATTGGGCTGTGTAACATAGAATTGAGAGGAGTTTCTTTAACCTGCAGTCCATAAACTTAACCATTGACTGCCACACTGAATATAGATATCTTGAAGCCTTAAAATTAGGCAAGCCAGTCATTCAGGTGTGGGCCAGTGGTGTACAGTATCCATTGAACCAGTCAGCTGCCATGTTGAATTTTGAGGATTGTGTTTTGGGGCTGTTTTCTTACCATGTATTTCCTGTATCAGAGGGTGTTATGAGATACACTGTCAGTTGTTAATAGTTTGGCTTAAAAACAATACCACACTAAACTGGACTTCTTTGCTTCTTTATGCTAAATCAGCTCTCTTCTCAGGTGCTGATATATTTGTCCCTGGCTTTTTAGTAATTCCATCATGTATCCACTAGCATGTTATCTAAAGCAGAAAGGGAAGTGATCTCAACTTCAGTTTGGCTAATTTGTCTGTGAGTTATAGCAAAACGTATAAATTCTGCTCTTTACCCACTGGGGGAAGGTTTTGGAAAACAAACTACCTTTTTTTTTTTCTTTAAATATTGACACCTGAGCTAACAACTATTGCCAATCTTCTTTTCTTTTTTTTCTTCCTCTTCTCTTCAAAGGCCTCCAGTACATAGTTGTATATTCTAGTTGTGAGTGCCTCTGGTTGTGCTATGTGGGACGCTGTCTCAGCATGGCTTGATGAGTGTTGCCGTGTCCGCACCCAGGATCCAAACCGGCAAAACCCTGGGCTGCCAAAGCGGAGCACGCGAACCTAACCACTCAGCCGTGGGGCTGGCCCCAGTGAACTAGCTTTTTGACAGTTGCATCAAGAAATCACACTGAATTCTTCCTTCACCAGCATTTCAAGGAATTTACAAAGATTCCACATGGCCATGCATCATTTCTACAGACACAGCCCTTAATTTTCCTAATTTCTGGGAGACCCTTCTGGCTAAAGAAGATAGAACCTAGATCTCCAACCTCCTAAATCCTTTCATCAGTGAAAATATTTTTTTCTACCCTTTGAAGAAAGACCAACTTTCTATATTTGCCTTAGTCTTAACTATCGGTCTGAAACATACCAGACAAGTGCACCATTATAAGAAATCCTTCTCTCACAATAGATGTGAACGTTAAGCTTCAAGTATCACAGGTTCGAGTGCAGCCTCTGACTTCTGTGTGTGTCATCGAGCTTGTCAGAGCTGAGAAGGAATGTACACCATACATAGACGACATCAATGTAATGTGTATTTTCTCTGTAACTTCTGGTAGACCCCCACCATGGGGATGACGAATGCTGAAAATGCACATTCCTCAGTCCCCACTGCCCAGTCCAAATCGTTTCCTGTGGTGAGAGTAAAGGTAGGGATGAATGACTAGGTTGAGTGGGTGAGAGACTTTACTCCTCCTTACATATTCCTATAATTAGCCCAATTTCCAAAACAGTCTTCTGGCATTTCAAAGCAAATTCCATCAATTCTCAAAGTTGTAATCTTTCTGTAGCCTACTCTTCCGAGCATCCAGCCGTAAACATTGCCCTAGCTTTAACTGGTACTTTCTAATTCACATTACCAACTTGTCCAGGTGCATAGATGAGGTGGCTTACTGAAATCCTTTAAGTGAAATTAAAGCCCATTTTTATGACATAGCCAGTATTCTTAGTTTACTAGTGGTGTGGAAATCCTTGTGAATAGCCACTTTGTAAAGCTTCTTTAATAAGTACCCTAGTTTCATTGGCCCAGGCGTTGCTCTCTCCCCACCCCCAACTCTTCAGCAGAGGGAGTTCTGTGGGAGAACAGAGCCCACGGGTGGGAGCCAGGTTCAGTACACTACTACTTCCTCTTGGCATCACTTCTAGTTCCCTAACCATACCTACGTTTCTTTCTGTCACTAGACAATGGTGAAAAATCAGCGAGAGCTTCTTTTCTTTCTACTTTTAAAAACTGAGGTATCACATACATACAGTAAAGTATATAAAGTACACTCATTTTAATAGTATGGTCATGCATCACTTAATGACAGGGATACATTCTGAGAAATGTATTGTCAGGCGATTTCATCGTTGTGCAAACATCATAGGGTGTACTTATACAAACCTAGGTGGTAGAGCCTACTACACACCTAGGCTATGTGGTACTTATCTTATGGGACCACCGTTGTGTATGCAGTCTGTCGTTGACCAAAACATCATGACTGTATAGTTTTATGGTTCTTTACATATTTACCACCACCCAGATCAATATATACAAACTTCTAGTAACTCATAAAGTTTCCTTTTGTCCCTTCCTAGTCTATACTTGCCCCTAGAGGTAAGTACTATTCTGACTTTTTATCACCATCAATTTGTTTTGATTGTTCTTCAACCTCATTTTAATGTAATTAAACCCCCTGCTTCCAGTAAGCTGATGGATCTAGACACTTGGGTAAATTCAGCTCAAATTTTGGGGGGACAAGAATATTTCATAGACTATGCTGTGTATTGTATTTCCTGTTGTCTCACATTAGAAGGCACGTGATATCTAGTTATCTCATTTTAGTGATGTTGAGTTTGATCAGTGGTGTTTCCAGTAGGATACATCCATTATAAACTTCTCCATCAACCTTCCTCTTAGTGGTTTCAAGTAACCATTGGTGATTTTTTAAGTAACCATTGGTGGTATTGTGTAGGTCCATTATTTCATAGGGGTTACATTTTTTACACATTAGGAAGCAGATATAGAGAGGGTTACTAACTTGCCTAATATCACACAGCTAATTAATGGTGGACCCAGAATTTGAACCCAGACAGTCTGACTCCAGACCCAGTCTCTTACCCAATACACTATTGCATCCTGAACATTTTCCCATGTTGTTAAGCATCTTTTTCCTGTCATTAACGTGGACATTTTCCACATCCTCTATAATTTTTAATGATTGTATGATAATATATCATTTGAATGTACCATAATTTTTTTCAACTCACCGACTCATAGGTTGTTCCACTTTCTTGCTGTTATGAATTACATTGAGATGAGTATTCTTATAGCTAAATCTTTGTGCAGATCCATGATAATTTCCTAGAAAAAATTTACAAAAGTAGAATTTGTTAAAAAGCATGTGCATATTTTTAAAGATGTTTATTGCAAACTTGTCTTCCAGAGAGATTGTGCCAGTTTATATCTCAATACTTGAGACTATTTTTCTGTACTTTCATCAGCTCTATATAGGCTGTGTATTATCATTTTTATCAAGGAGATATGTAAAGAAATTCTTGTTTTTATTTCTATTATTCAATTCATAAGTTAAATATTTTTCATATATTTGTTGGCTAAATTTGTGTGTGTGTGTGTGTGTGTGTGTGTATGTGTGTGTGTGAATTGCATATTCTTTCCCATTTTTCCGTTGGGGCATTGATTTTGTTGTTTGATTTATACAGGCTTTATATATTTAAAGATTTTGAACCACTGACATTTATTTTGTAAATATTTTCTTCGGGTTATTTGCATTTTAATTTTGTTCATTTTCTCTGTTTAATTTTGATTTTTCAAATGAAAACACTGAATTTTTAATTTTGATGTAGGCAAATCTATCTTTTTCTTTATGGTTTCTTTCTTACATAGAAAGGCTTTCTCAAACCAACCTTGTATTGGTATGAATCTATATATTTTAATCTCTACTCTTCAATGTAGAAAATATTGTGGAAAGATTTTGGTTTAGTTTCTTTTATTTAAGGAACTATTTAGTTTTTTAATGTACTTTTAGAAATTTAGTCTTAACACATTGCTAAATTACCAATCACTCCAAATGTTTCTCCATCTGTTTCCTCTTACATGGCCCAGTGTCGATGTTGACAATAACCTGTGGACTGTTATATGTCATTGCATTTTTTGAAACGTCTTTTAAAGATGTAACATTAAATTACTGTGCCCAAGATTTTGAATTGGTAATTAGGACACTACTTAACAAGTGGAATTAAAGCAAAGGGGATTAAATCTGTGGGGGTATTTCCTTTTGAGATTGCCTAGAGCATTATTCCTGAGCTGGTGTAGACTACACTCCTTTCTCACACATGCCAGATGCAATATATTCTTTCTCTTCAGCAGAGCTGGACAAACACTACCCAGTTCTTTGTTCCTCTAGACCAGTGATTCTCAAATAGGAGGTGCAGGGAGGAATTTTGCCTCCCAGGAGATGTTGGCAATGTCTAGAGACATTTTTGCTTATCACAGCTGGGGAGAATGTTAAACATATGGTACACAAGGCAGCCCCCCTACAACAAAGAATCGTCTGGCTCAGAATGTCAATAGGGCGTCTGTTGATACATTCTTTCTAGAGCTCATGGGGGCCATTCCATTTCTGCTTTATAACATCACTCAGATGTGTTAGTTAAATCCAGGACTGCCACATACAGTTATGCAGGTTGTTCACAGCTATATAAACTCCAAGGGGCATCATTGTATGAATGGTGTGCCCTGAAGTACAGTACTCAACTTGTGCAGTCATCCTGGTGGCCTTGACTAAATTCTAGTCTATCTCCCATCACTTACATTTTAGATTGGCATTTCACTGGAGAGAGTTTGAAAAAGTTACTCTTTTCTTTCTCTATACATTTACATATCCTTTTGGATGTGGGAGCGTCTGCACATGGCTAATCTTTCTATTTTATACCAATCTTATGAGCATAATTTTTGGTGGGTAGCCTTTCCTGTTATCTGCTGGATATGGGGATATGTCCTATTGAGCACATGTCCATCTTTGAAATGATTATATGCTTCCTATCTTCTTTTGCCTTTCCTTTACCTTTAATGGACCAAAATATGAACTAACATATATTTTAAAATCATCCCTTGTATTGAGGGAATGTTTTATGTCCTTTGCTAACATTTATTTCTCATTCTAAGGAAAAAGAGAAAAATCAGTGAAGTTGCTTTTTGTTTGTATGTGGCTCTCATTTGAATCCCAAGCTTGGGCTGATGGAAAAACAGTTTCCACCTCTGCCCCATGGCAACACCCAAACACTCTCTGAATTCTAATTTAGTTTCCTGCTTGTGTCAAGTTCTAAATCATATAAATTCTTGGATTATTTGGTAGCTCTTCCTAATGCTCAAAGTTCTTTATCTTGAATATAGTTATTTTTCTTAATATTGGGGGTGGGGAAATCAATGTAGTTCGGTTCAGAAACATTTGTTGAGTAGCTTCTGAACGGCAGGTTCTGTGCTTGGAGCTGAAAATAGGAGCGTGAAAAAGCCACAGTCTCTTCCTGCGAGGAGTTTATAGTTTAGTGGGAGAAGTTGACTCAGACAGATATCATCTCTCTGAGTGACCTGCTCTCGGAGGGAGAGCCTATGTTGGATATTGTGGGAGCACAGAGGAAATGGCCTTGTCTGTCTTTTTTCTTCTTGAGACCCTGTGTTGGAAGGTGGCCGTGGACACAGGGCTACATCAGTTCATCATTAACATAGCGGAGCGGGCCAGTTTTTGAAAAACAGTTTCTGTATGATAGTTTTGAAAGATTTTCAGCTCACAGCATAGGCCTGAATTAAGGTAAAAAGGTCTACTGGATGTGTGAATAATTGGCTGCCAGTCTGGGAGTTTAGCTTTCATCGATTTCAGCACAATAGACAGCATTCAGGATTAGAGTTTACATATCCTAAAGGAGAAATTTTCAGCAAAATTCAGAGGATCAGATGAAATGCTTCTTGCCAAGCTGCCCAGCTTAATATCTGTATAGTTCAATTCAGCAAGTATTTATATCAACAGAAGTTGGAAATATTGATCTGGCCAGAATTGAAGGTTGAAGCCCAGACCAAGTAACTATTTTTTTCTCTTCCTCCTTTCTCTTTTTCTTTCTCCTGTCAATTTTTTTGAGGTATAACTTTAAAATCTATTTATAGACCTTTCCCCTCCTAATTGTATCAGTAATACATGGTAATTTTGGACAATTTAGAAAATATTAAAAAGTATAAAAAAAGAAAGTAATCACTCATCTAAAAAAAGATAGTCTCACCATTTGGAAGTAAACACTCTTTGTTTACATTTTGATTGTTTCCTCTAGTTTCTTTTTCTTTCTCAGAATTGTGATTACACTGTATGTATACTGCTTTTTTTTCCATTTAACATTATTTATAACCACTTTTCCATGTCATTAAATATTTCTTGAAAATATAAGATTTATTGGTTGCGTATAAGCAATAATCTAAATTTATCATAATTTTATTTAATTATCTTTGAAATATTATTGTTGATTAGGTTGTTTCAAGTTCCTTACTTTATGAGGATTATGAGAAGTGTGCTATTGAGTATTCTTATACATAAATCCTTTTGGTGAATCTTTAATTCTTTCCGTAGGATTGGTTCCTACAGGGAAATTACTAGGTCAAAGTCTGTGCATGCTTTTAAGGCTCTTGCTATTTAGTGCTAAGTTGCCTTCCAGAAATGTGCGCTCTTGTCAGCAGTGAATGAGACTGCTAATATCTCATAGAGAAACATTATTCCATGCCTTCAGACCAAACTTCTAACCCTGACCAGCCATCTCCAAAATGTGTACCTTTGCTCCTAGAATGAATGGAGGAGCCTGTCAGAGAAGTTGGTGGGTGGGTGGATGAAGGGAGGCAGAAAGCAGGGAGGGGAGGGTGGGGCTGATGGATGAAAGGGTGGGTGCATGACTCAGTGTGAACCCATCGCTGCTCTAGAAGAGCAACTCAGATCTGGTAGTGTCATCATAATATACAAAGAACAGCACTTACTTATCTTTAGAGGCAGAACGTAGTCTTCTAATCAGCAAGCTCAGACAAGTTCCAGTTTACTCTAGGTCAGAAACTTCTAAAAATGAGAGCAGAACTAGAAAGCCATATTCATGTTGCTCCATCTGAAGAGTTTACCTTCAGTGAACTCTGTAGGAAAGATCAGGAATTAATTTTTGGAATGAAGAATGAGGGGAGAGAACTAAATCTCAGGTCTTGATTGGAGAGTGTGTGGCAAGTAGAATGACACCGGGATTGTTGAGGCAAAGCAGTGTATTCTTCTAAGTTAGGAGATACCTTTTCTCAAATTATTCTATATTCAGGAAAAGGGTAGGTCTTGGGCTTTAGGGTGTATTTCTCTTAAAACCTGCAAAATGCCCTTATTTAATGTGCTTTGTCAACTCTTTTCCATGTCACCTGCTTAATTTTTATGTTTTAGTTTAGCCCCTCAGAGTTCATCCAAGTGATAAGCAACCCATGATCCTATCCAGCTCCAGGATGAAGCCCATAATCTGATTTTAGAAAAGCTATCATCTGCCCAGAGAGGAGGAAATTCAGCCCCAAATTCTGCTCTCACAACCACTTTCTTCTGCCAGTTATAGAAAACAAAGGAAAATTGAATAATTGGATTTGTCTAGCAGGCTACTGTGAGTTCCTATTGGCTTGGCCAGGGAATTAAGATGAGGGGAGAAGCTTTTAAACAGCTGCATGTATTTTAAAGTATGGATGTACCACAATTTGTACCATTTATTCAACCATCTCTCTGTAAATAAATATCCACTTTTTTCTCTTTTTTTATGTGACATGCAGTACTGCAATATAAATTCTCATATATATGTGATAATAGAAATATATATATTATATATACACATTTCATATATAGGTACACACTAACATCCTGGAACCTTTATTTCTGTAGGATTGATATTTGCCAAAGTGGAGTTACTGGGTCAAAGTCTGTTTATAGTGTAAATTATTCATGTAATGGTACTGACAAATTACTTCCTAAAATTGTGGGTGAGAGGGCTTTCTGAACCCCTGTTGTGTCTATTGTCAAATAGAGAAAAATATCTTTTGAAAAGTGTCTCTTCCAAAGTGAATGAACTAAGAAAACTCTCTTTTTATATTATTTTTTTGTTTTTCTTGATTGTAATGAGAAAAAATCTTGTTTTAAGAAATACGATATTAATACATTTTGCTAATAAGTTGCATACAAGATTAGTCAAAGAATGACAAACTAGGTTGCCTTTAGAAGTATCTTACTCAACAAAATTTGTTTAAAGTTGCAGCATTATAATGGTAGCTCAAGGGCATTCTAATTAGGTAGTTTCCAGAAATATTTAACTTGTACTAGCTTAAAGTTTTTACTTAATGGGCTTTTATTTTCAGAATATACGTTTTGGTTCTCTTCTGTATAATAAACAAGTCCAAAACTTAATGGCTTAAAACCACAACCATTTATTTATTCAGAATTCTGTAATACGGATTTTTTTCTAGAGTTTCATGTAAATGGAATCCTACAATGTATACCCTCTTATGTCTGACTTCTTTTGCTCAGAATCATGTTTTTGAGATTCATCCATGTTGTTGTGTCTATCAGTAGTTCACTACTTTTCATTGCTAAGTAGCGTTACTTTATATGAATATACCACAATTTGTTCATACATTTACCTGTTGATGGACATTCAGGTTGTTTCCAGTTCTGTAGTATTATGATGTAGCTGCTATGAACATTCTGGTACAAGTCTTTGTGTGACTGTGTATATATTTTTTTTCTTGGGTGATAGGAATGGAATTGCTGGGTCATACCTTAAGTGTATCAGAAATTGCCAAACTGTTTTCCAAAGTAGTTGTACGATTTTACATTATGACAAGCACTATGTTAGAGTTCCAGTTGCTCCATATCGTCACCAAGACTTGGTATCAATAGTTTTTTTAGTTTTTAGCCATTTTAATGAGTCAATAATAGTATCTCATTGTGGGTTTGTTTTTCTTTTCTTTTTTTTTTCTTTTTTTCCTTCTTCTCCTCAAAGTCCCAGTACATAGCTGTGATGCGGGCTCGGCGAGCTGAGGAGTCGAAAGAAAGATTTCTTGGACTCTCAAGGTCTGGCGGTAGTGCTCCTTTATTCAGATAATAGCATGGAATAGCATGGGGACAGGACCCGTGGGCAGTGAAGAGCTGCAATGAGTTGATGGTAGGGCTAAATTTATAAGGCATAGGTGTGTGAGTTATTTCTTTACAAGACAAAGGAAAGATCATGTAAAAAAGTTGTTAAAATGGTATCAGTGCAGGTGGGGTCTGGTTATCGGGTGGTCCTATGACTTTGGATATGAATCAGATTGGATCAGGTCAGGACATCCTATGCTTCCCAGAGGATGATATAGATCAGTATGTAGGCCACGACACCTTGGGCTTCTCCCCCTGGGGCAGCCTTGATCCTCATCATAAAATCCCCGCTGAACCCATTTGGCCCTGAAATCTTTTGGGGATATGGACGATGGTCAATCTTCTGTAACTACTTCTAGCTGTACAAGGTCATAGGGCTGTCCCTAAATGGGGCCATAGGGGTACAGGCAGGAAGTTCGGTGGACCGGAAGGTTGCTCCCGCAGAGTCCAAAGCTGACAAGGTATACAGATCCTTTGGAGACGAGAGAATCATTTGACAAGAAGTGGTTCAGGAGGCAAAACTTTGTTGACATGTGGAAGACAAACAACAAAACAGACAACAAATTATAATAAGAAATGCAAGCAATATGATTAACCCAATGAATAAGGCTTTGATAGTAGTCAGGAGACCTGGACCTGACCAGGAGTCCAACCAATCATTTAGGGATAAGGTAGGGTCAGACGTGGATTTAATTTGGTGGCTCATATCAGATAGAAAGCCAGAGATATTTAGATGGTAGTCAGGAATATAGACACAACATTTGGTTTTTATAATGGCACAAGTACCCCCCTGTACTGCTGTCAAGACATCCAGTGCCATTCAGTATGGCGGTGAAGCCGGTGTCCAACTGACAGCATCTGGAGAAAGGGTGCAGAGCCCAACTGTGGGCATCAATATAGTTATGAGATTTAGTCAAGTTCCACTCAGCCAGGGCACTTAGTCCCTGAGCCAGCACAAGGCAAGTCAGGGAAGCAGGAGGCAAAGGCCTGGAGCTGGCTGGTGGCTGGGGCTCCCAATGCCGGGGTTGAGAGTTAAGTCCCTAGCAAAAGATTTTCAAGTTTTCGATCTTACAGAAGGTCCAGGTTCTGCTCAGGTCCAGCCTGAACTTAACCTTGACATGGTGACAACAGAGGAGGAGATGAACGAAAGAGACAAAGAAAGGAAAAGAAGAGATCAGGCCTTGCCCACATGGCCTGTCCCCGAGGGTTATCAAGATAAGAGGCACACAGTAGTTCCTGTGCTGGGGCACACAACACTAGCAGGACAGTTCACAGAATAAATCACAGCTCTCCTATCCTCATAACCGACTTGGTAGGTGTGTAAAATACTCAACAAGTCAACCGCCAAGAGAGGGCACCCCACTGGGGGTCACCAGGGTGATCAGGCCCAGAAACCAGAGTGGAGGCTCCCAGGAGTGGAGCCTTTGACTCTTTAAAAATTTCTTTGTTTCTCAGTTACAAAACTCAAAAGGAGACCAAAATGGCCACTGAAACTCTAAGAGAGACAAAAGAAAAGGGTCCATTACCTTGAAAATCCCCCCTGAACCTAGGGCAGCGTTCTACCTGTTGTTCCTCCTGTGGGGTTCCTATAGCAAGGGGTGATGGGGGCATCCCCCTGCATTGCATCCCTTGTATATCTTCCCTATTATGCCTGGCAGTAATAGGTGCCTGGTGAATGGTCCCAGAGGTAAATGAATAGAGAAAAACAGTGAAGAATTTTCCACCGGTCTGGGGGACATTCTACCCAATTGCATCTGGGAGCTGTTCTTCCAAGAAGGGGTTCCCATACTAAACCAAAGGTTAGAGTTTGGTACTTTCCTTGAACCAGAGTCCTGATTGAGACTTTCCCGCAGTTCAGAGTGTGGTCAGGAGCCATAGGGAGGGATCCCAATCCAGCCTTAGGAAAAGAAACTTGCCACAGGAATCTTGGAGATTGGCAACCATCCTAATGACTTAAGTGGTTGACCCGTGCCCATGTGAAATTTATATATTAGAGAGAGGATTAGGAAGGAATGGATTAATTCATTCTTCATCACCCTTAGGCTTAAGGTACTGATTCTCTTCAGGCTGAATGCCATGGTTTACCCCACAGAGTAGCCATGGGCAGCAAACCTGGATTCATACTGCTGTTTGAGAAAGTTCCCAATAGAGAAGTAAATTTAGATCCATCCTTGAAAAACAGAAAGGCACAAGGAAGGAAAGCGCACTTACCAGAACTTCAGCTCACAAGCTGGTTAAGCAGGATCCCCGTATGGGCCACCAAAAGAAATGATGCAGGGTCAGGGAGCCGAGGAGCCAAAAGAAAGATCTCTTGGACTCTCAAGGTCTGGTGGTAGTGCTCCTTTATTCAGCGAATAGCATGGAGTAACATGGGGACAGGACCCATGGGCAGTAAAGGGCTGCAGCGTGAGGACAGGACCCATGGGCAGTGAAGAGCTGCAATGAGTTGATGGTAGGGCTAAATTTATAAGGCATAGGTATGTGAGTTATTTCTTTACAAGACAAAGGAAAGATCATGTAAAAAAGTCGTTAAAATGATGTCAGTGCAGGTGAGGTCTGGTTATCATATGGTCCTATGACTTTGTATATGAATCAAGTTGATCAGGTCAGGTTGTCCTATGCTTCCCTGAGGATGATATAGATCAGTATGTAGGCCAGGACGCCTTGGGCTTTTCTCCCTGGGGCAGCCTTGATCCTTATCAGTTGTGTATCCTAGTTGTAAGTCCTTCCAGTTCTTCTATGTGGGATGCCACCACAGCAAGGCTCGACGAGTGGTGCTAGGTCCAAGGCCAGGATCCAAGCCTGCAAACGCCGGGCCACTGAAGCTGAGCATGCGAACTTAACCACTAGGCCACCGGGCCGACCCCCTCATTGTGGTTTTAATTTGTATTTTCCTGGTGACTACTGATGTTGAGCATGTATTTTCATATGCTTGTTTTCTATTTATGTATCTCTTTTGTGAAGTAACTGTTCATATCTTTTTCCATTTTTTAATTGGATTATTTCTCTTATTTATTTATTTTCTTTTTGAGGAAGATTAGCCCTGAGCTAACTGCTGGCAATCCTCCTCTTTTTTCTGAGGAAGACTGGCCCTGAGCTAACATCCATGCCCATCTTCCTCTACTTTATATGTGGGACGCCTACCACAGCATGGCCTGCCAAGCGGTGCCATGTCCACACCCGGGATCCAAACCGGTGAACCCCAGGCTGCCGAAGTGGAACGTGCACACTTAACCGCTGAGCCACCGGGCCAGCCATATTTCTCT